ATTTATAAAAAGAGACGATAGTAATAAATAAATAAAAAAAATAAAAAAGAAAAGGGTGCATTTTTAATTCCCCAAGGAAGAGTGAGTTGAAAGGCAGATGCACTTTTGGGAAACCTTTTTGAGCATCATTGAGGCATCAAACTCGAGGCTTTGCCCTATGATTAATATTCAATATATATTTTTTAAATCTCATTTTCTTTCACAAATTAATTATTATTAAATAATGTTTTTTCATAGAAATTCCAACATTTGATTGGAGCATAGTTAACTCTACACCTATACCTAGGCCTATGTGAATTTGTATTTTAATACAAGGGTAGCAGCCCTATTATTGAATTTAATAACCCATCCTCTAATTGGTACCAATTATCAATATTATGACTAGATTAGATATGTCCGTTTTTCGTCTCCTATTTCAATCTTCATCTCTACAAATTTCACATTTATTTTTAATAAAAAATTATGATATCACATGGTATGGTGAGGTAAGAATGTGTGTGTTTGTAGTGGATGATGTAAATTCCATTGACCGACTTTTATGGCTTTTTTTTTTTGTTTTTTGTTTTTGGTAAAATGGAGTGCTTTGCATGTGCTCTCCTTCTTCCACACATCCTTTCTTAACTCTCTGTCTATTTCCCTTTACTAAGCTTTTATGTTATATCAGAATCTAACCCCTTTTTCTTCTCTCATACCAATTTTATTCCACTTCTAATTCACGAGTCCATTTTGGGTCTACGCGAATGTTGAGCTAAACCATTGTGGGGTGAAAATCTCGAGTCATGGCTCCAAGGGGACCTGTTCCAAAGTGGGTGAATGAGGGAGAGATTTTTTTCCGCTCTCACTTTGTGAACATCTCTAGTTCAGAATTGATAAAACTAAGTTCAATTCAAGACCCTTCTTTAAGGTCAATAATTGAAAGATAAAAGATTGAACCGTTATATATAAAATTATATTTTATCCGAATTAACTTAATTATTAGCTTAGTAGATCGAAATAAAATAACAAAGAAATAAATAAATGAAGGGTTCTTTGAAATTAAAAACTTGGAGGTTCGTAGGGGTAGTGGAAAAAGTGTAGTTTCCTATGAGGGGAATTTGAAATGGTCGTGGATTAGAGAGTGCCAAGTTTATTTCTTCCATAGCCATTGAACTTTACAGTGTGCGGCTCTTAGCCTACCAGTTTCTTCTAAGATTGGTAGGGTCCCCTCCCCTTATAGTATAGGGATCTCTCTTTCTCTCACTACACAACACACACGAACTACTAACTACTGCCCTCTCTTCTTTCTCTCTCCTCCCACACGCGGTGGTTCAGAGGTCTATATATATGATACTCACTTGGCTACCCATAAATCCAACCAAGATTCATACTCTCTTTCAATCTCTCTCTTCTTTTCTTGGGAGCTTCAATGGCGTTGGCCATGGTCATTCTTGCTCTGTTCTTGCTCCTCTGTTTTTGCGCTGCTTTGCTGCGATGGAATGAAGTTCGATACAGCAAAAAAGGGTTGCCTCCCGGTACAATGGGCTGGCCTATTTTTGGGGAAACCACTGAGTTTCTCAAGCAAGGTCCCAACTTTATGAAATCCCAAAGAGCTAGGTACTGATTTCTCGGTTTTCTGGCTTTGGATTTATGGGGTTTTGGGATTTTCTTTAACATTGCTCTGTTTTTTGTTTTTGAAAAGGTATGGGAGCATTTTCAAGTCCCATATTTTGGGGTGTCCTACGATTGTTTGTATGGATCCAGAGGTTAATAGATATGTTTTGATGAATGAATCAAAAGGGCTTGTCCCTGGTTACCCTCAGTCCATGCTTGACATCCTTGGCAAATGCAATATCGCCGCCGTCCATGGCAGCGCCCACAAGCTCATGAGAGCTGCTCTGCTCTCCGTCGTTAGCCCCACCATGATTAAAGACCGACTTCTTCCTAAAGTTGATGAGTTTATGCGATCCCATTTGAGGAATTGGGATCGCCAAATCATTGACATCCAAGACAAGACTAAAGAGGTGAACTATATGAAAAGAATGCAAATTTGCTATTTTGTTCCAATGATGTTACTCCTCCTTCCTCTGTTTTCACTCATTTTCCCCCCCGTCTTCCTCTTCAGATGGCTCTCTGCTCATCTTTGAAGCAGATTGCTGGAATCGAGTCTGGTCCTCTATCGGAATCTTTTATCCCGGAGTTCTTCAAGCTCGTTCTCGGCACCCTCTCGCTCCCCATCGATTTTCCCGGCACAAACTACCGCCAAGGAATTCAGGTAAAGAGATATTTTGTATTTGAATTCCAGTAATGTAATTTCCGGCAGTTTCTGGACAAGTGTGATGTGATTTTCAGGCGAGGAAGATCATAATAAAGCTGTTGCAGAAGCTGATAGACGAGAGAAGAGCCTCAAAGACAGAAAAAGATGACATGCTTGGGTTTTTTATGAGCGAGGAGAACAAATATAAGCTGAAGGATGAAGAGATCATTGATCAGATCATCACAGTTTTGTACTCTGGCTATGAAACTGTTTCGACAACTTCAATGATGGCTGTCAAGTTTCTCCATGATCATCCCAAAGTTCTTCAGCAACTCAGAGTGAGTATTATTAAAGGAAGAAACAAAACATGATTTACAACTTATCTGAGCTGGAAAAGTTTGAAAAGGCTGTTGGGTTTGTTTTTCTTTTTCTTTTTCTAAGTTAGAGATTTGAAATCTGCAGGAAGAGCATTTGGCAATCAGAGAGAAGAAAAATCCTGAGGACCCCATTGATTGGGATGATCTTAAAGCTATGAAGTTCACTCGTGCGGTATGATTTTTATGTTTTTACTGTTGTCTTTTCACTTCTTTGAGGGTTTTTCTTCCTTCAAAAAAAGAAGAGAGAGAAAAAGATTCCAACTTTACACTGTTTTTTTCTTGTGAATTGTTTAGGTGATCTTTGAAACATCAAGGCTGGCCACAATTGTTAATGGGGTCTTGAGGAAAACTACAAAGGACATGGAACTAAATGGTGAGTTGCATGGGTGCTAAAAGTTCTTATAAACAACTTAAAAGTTCCAACCTATGAACCGTACGAATTTTCAACTAAAAATTCAACCTGACCCAAATCAAAAAAGAAAATGAACCCAACTTAACTTTTATGATTTGAGTTGAGTAGTCCGAGTAATTCAAGTGATCGAGTCACCTTTTTCATTTTGGGACACTTTCCTTCTCTCTTCACTGTGTTGTGGGTCAATCTTAGATAAGGCTCATAAAGAATGACAGATCTTCTTCACCTCTTTATCACAGCAATGTGCTTACTTAGATCAAACCAAAATGTTGGGCTAAAAACTCTCGATCTTTAACCTTTTTTTTCTTACAGGCTTTCTCATTCCAAAAGGATGGAGGATCTATGTGTATACCAGAGAGATAAACTATGACTCTTTTCTCTATTCTGAACCATTGACCTTCAACCCTTGGAGATGGCTGGTGGGTCTTGTTCTCTCTCTCTCTCTCTCTCTCTCTCTACCCTTCTTTATCTCTCTTACCCACTATTGAAAAATGACCATTTTGCCCTTGTGTAACATCTTTGCAGGACAAAAACTTGGAGTCCCATAATTACTTCTTCATCTTTGGAGGTGGAACTAGACAATGTCCTGGCAAAGAACTGGGAATTGCTGAAATTTCTACTTTTCTACATTACTTTGTAACTAAATACAGGTAGCTTTCTTTCTCAGAAACATCAGCAAGAAAATAAACAGTAGCTGAGATCTTAAGACTGAAACCCTTTTTGATCTGTTTTTGCAGGTGGGAAGAAGTTGGAGGAGATAAACTGTTGAAATTTCCAAGAGTGGAAGCTCCAAGTGGATTCCACATTAGGGTTTCATCTTACTGACTGAATTAAACCAATAATGTTTATTATAAAAAAGAAGAAAAAAAAAAATTCTTGCGAAGAACTCGATGTACAGTTGGAGATGATGATATGTATAGGCACTGTGAATGGTAGAGAGAGAGATATGGAGGGAGGATGTACAATAACATTCTAACACCTTGACCTTAGGGACAAAAGGAATGAAATTGAATTTTCATCAACTTTTTTTCCACTGCTAAACAAACCCAACCTACAGCCACTCACAGTCACTCACCCAGACGCTCTCTATCATATCGAACTCTAACAAACTCAGGACGACTTAGAAGAACCAACTTAAGTATCGAAGGGTTCGTAGTATAAACTACACTATTGTTTAGCAACTCTTTGTTGCTACCTCTAACTCCAACCATGTTCATATGTATATGATACCCGTACATAGTTGCTCAATAAAAAGAGGCTTCGTATTATGACTATGATTTCTTGATAACATCCTCAAGTTCTAAACATTTAAACCAACATGGCTTTCTGAGATAAGTCTAACAAGATCAAGCTCCAAACATTAGTCTTACACAGTTCAAATCATAGTTAGAAACCAAATTTACCTCTAAAAGGGCCCCAAAGATGGTCAAAACAGAGCAATACCAACAAACATTTGTACATCTCTCCGTCAAATAGATTAAGACAACCGAGTTCATCCCATCCTTATATTCCTTCCCGTTCCAAACTCGATCGAGATTAGATGCTTGCAATTGTAAACTAAAAACCAAGCTCATTCTCTATGAAGAATTACCTTATTTATTTTCCATCTTCATGTTTAGCCTTCCTCTATAACAAGTAGTAAAATAGTTGCATTTGAAAAACATGCTATGTTCAAATTCCCCTCAATCTCAATTGTTCAATTCACTATGTTCGGTCCAAGCTCGATCGATCCTAAGGATGAAGGCATAAGTCTCAATGGAGTATCCAACACCAGAGATTAAACAAAATTTCAGCTATCGGATCTTTTTCATCTCCCAATAAGCTTATAGATTATATTTAATTTGGTATCATAAAAACCAGGCTGCCCTCTATTCTATCTCTTTCTTTCTTCTTTTTTCTTCAAACTTCTCTTAAATCATGAAATAGCAATTAACGTTGTAAAAGTTCAACAAATCTATATTTTAGATTCAACTAGAAATTTTTTTGGGACTTAGCTCACAGTTCGTATAACTCGTTCCTTTCTATAACCAGATATAAGTTGCACCAATCTGAATTTGCCAATCCTAAGCTCTAAAAACTAAGAGGTATTAAACCCATACAACACCTTAGAATTCCTATTGAACTTGACTTTGTACGAAGACAGCTCAAACATTAAAAATAAAAATAAAAAACCCTCTGTTGGAGAGGAAATAAGAACAACCACCACCAGCTTGCGTTCAGAAACATCTGCTGATTATAGGGATGGAGAGGGAAAGACTTCTTGTGCATTCCCTGTAAATCTTGATCTCTCTCTCTCTCGACAGGAATCTAAACCTCCTAGAGATGAACAAAATTGATACATTTTGAAAGAAAGCCTTCCTCAAGATTAAACAAAAATCTGCTACTTCTACCTAAGAGTCCCCAAACGAGCATTTCATGCGGAGGGTCAAAAAGTAGATACTGCATAACTCAGAAATAGAAAATTTAAGATAAGGAAACTTTTACCGGCTGGGAGCTGATTCATCTTCTACCTTGGGACGTTGTGCTTTAGGCTCCTCGTAATCCGTATGGCTAAGAACTCCATTTACTGCCTCTGCATCCAATAGAGAGATGAATTTACTAGTGATTTGACGACCAGCTCTCAGCTCAGAGCCGCAATGTCTTTCAGGGTTTGGAAGGAAGCATGCAACTTCCCTTGCTTGTGCCCTGCTAAGGGATGCCACAGGCCATTCATTTTATGAGTTTGATGTGCAAGGTAATCTCTGATGGTAACCCAAAATTAATGTTTGACAGTGGTAAACAGAGTGCAAAAACAGTTCAACTTAATGAAACTTACTTCAAGAACCGGTTCCTTGGCAAGAATAATAATTCCTGGCTGATCTTCTGGTTGAGCTTTTACTGGGTGGTTTTTTACCTACATAACAAGGATCGAAGAAACCATCTGGTGACAAATAAGACTAAGGATTGAGGAAGCTCTACAGTTCCACATCTGGTGACATTGCTATACTAATTTCCTTTTTGTCCGAAACCATGACACACATCTAGGCTACGAGAATCAATACAATTAATTCTTTTTTCTTTTTATAAAAGGAAACGAAATTATTTTTGTTTTCTAAACAATTTCGGGAGTGGAAACTGAACTGTTCTGGTTCTTCTCCAAACAATTTTTACTTTTCGAACCCATTTCAATAAAAAGAACCCCCCAAAAAATGGGAAAAGAAGCCTAATGTTGAGTTTTAAATGTAGAACAAACTAGTTTCTAAACATCTCAAAAGAACAATAATTAGGTACTTAGAGCAGGATTAAGGCCAAACCTCAGGTAAAACGTGACCCATCAGCCGCCACAGCTGCCGTATGTTCACGGCCACAAGCTATTTAGCATCCATAAAGATCAGGATGGAGCTGCCTAGGAACCCTTAATTGATTATCCTTCCCATTTCGACCCGTTTGGAGGCTTACGTTCCGAGTCGTTGCGAAGATAACGTCGATGTCCATCTCTTGTCCCTAAAGCATTCGAAAGTTTCCACCAAATGAAGCGTACAGACAGATAATGAAAACGAAGACGACTTGCAGAATAATATAAGCAATCCCTCGCTTCATAGGGGGTAATGATTAAGTGACCAGTCGATTGACCAAAAATTAAAAACCCAGATTACGAAGTACTCATTGCAGTGAAAAGGTCGAACCAATTCCGATGATCTAGGACAAAGTTGTGGTCAGCCGTATGATTCAATTCAGGCTGTGAAAACTGAAAAGACGACGTAAAAATTTAAAGACAAGGAGGGAGAGAGGAGAGTACCTGAGGAAAAGGATCAGCAAGAAAGTTGAAATGAAAAGGAAGTTAGGAGAAAAATGAATTTATATACTTTGAAGAAAACGAGCGCCGTTTTCCGTTGTCCCGCGAAACTTGGAGATGGGTCAAGGTTAGTTTTGGGCCAGGCTTACCCCTGCCCTCCCTTCGGGAGGATAGTTATGTAATTTTGTGGAATAAATAGGGTATAAATAGAGGACGAGGCGAAAATAGGGGTACGGCAGACTAATTTTTCATTGATTTCCAGAAGCTTTTGTACCTCTGAAGCTTCCAGGCAGAGCTCTCGAATCAAGCCTTCCTCAATTTTCATTTCTATCCGTTGCATGAAAGGTGAGACGAATTAGGTCATAAAAACAGCTTCAATTTGATAATTTCTTGTTAAAGTTCATCTGTAGTCTTTCTAATCTGTCTGGAATTCATCATTTCCTGCTTGATTCCGCCCCCCTTTCAAGCAAAAGCGAGTATTTCTCCTTTCTACTATGACTTCTGCAGCGAACGTGGGAAAAACCGCATGAAAACTCATTAATTTTCGATTCCCTTTCGTTTATGGAACCGGCTCTTTTTGAGCAATTTCTCTTTTTTCGTGTCTATGGGTTCTTAGATCTGTGTTTGCTTTTAGAATTGACTTTGAAGGAGGAATCCGAAAATTTTCTGTTCCTTGCTATTTGTTGATGCTCGATCGAGAAGTTTGGCAATAGAATATGGTCTCCGCTCGATCTAGTACTTTAATTTTTTATGATGAGATTTGGACGTCGGAGGAGCAAAAGGAAAACAAAATTCTTTCTTAACATATGTTTCTTCGTCCGATTATGCTACTTATGTTTAACGCGGCCAAATATACGGCCCTTCATGACCAATAAACCTCTTGTTTCATCATCCGTTTCCCCATACTTCCATTACCTGAAATTTTAGATTGAAGTTGACTTGGCGGTTGCTTCTTGCTTGTAGGTTTTCTATAGTCATGAATTGGATACAAAGGAAGGTCTACCTTTACAATGTCACTTTTGGGCTGTACATGTTGGATTGGTGGGAGCGTATCCTCTTCAGTATGCTCTCTGTTCTACCCCACCTTTTCCTAACTAATGGATCCGTGATCTGTTTTATCACTTGCTAGCATGCATAGTACCCATTTCTTTTGATTTGGATTGAAATTGTGCTGCCAGTACTATTGTCCAGGCAAATCATTATTGATATTTACTGTTTCTTTTGTTCGCGTTAAGGTTTAATCTTATTTTCTATTGTTAAAGTTAGATCCTGCTGTTTGGATTTGATTGTCAAATGGTTATATGCTATCTAATCTTAATTATACTTGTTATGTGTGCCTGTGTCTTATATTTACTGGATTTATGATTTTGTCTGATCAGGAGTTGAATTTCATTGGTTCAGATATTGTTGTGAGATCAAATTTTGTTCGCGCAAATCTTACTTCTTGTTCTTACTGTTAAACTCTTGAATTCTCCACATATTATTGTAGATACATTGGTGGTTGTGCTGATGTGGTTCATGTTTTACAATGGATCACGATACGTAAATGATCTGTACAAGAGGTATTGTGTTTACCTTTGCTCTACCTTTTCCTTTTCAAAATCAGAAAATAAAGTATTTATGACAATTGATTGCACGTGTTGTAATAGACTTTGATAATCCAACAACCAAAGAAAATATAGTAGTACCACTTTCAGATGACCTAAGTTCGGTAGACGGCAATTTCATATTTGTTCTTGCAGATTTAATAATAAAAATATTTTTGTAGACTGTAATTTATAAGAATGGAACATACAAGGGGGGAATCTTATTCTGAAAGAGTGAAAAGCACATGGTTTATAGAAGTAGAACATATAGGGGGATAATCTAATTCCAAAGGATCGAAACGAACACTGCAACTCAAAGTATTCGAGGGATGAGGATAGTTAGAGAACTCTTTGGAGGAGAAAGCTCCAAGAGGAGAACACCAAATCAATGTCGCCCCAAATCTTTATAGGGTTCCTTTCCTTTTAATATATCCTATAGCGATCTCCTACTCATTTGTAATAAAGTTCTGGCGAAATAGCCTTATTGTTTCTGAAGATTTATGTTTTGCCAATCCAACACAAGTAAAAGAATATCTTAAAACAAAATATGCTATATATCTGGGCATTTTTTGAGTTGGAAACTGAAGCAAGAATCTCATAGCCTATCTTATTGAGAAGAATATCTGAGTTTTTGGATATATTCATGAGTGTTTCTCGAGAATGGCTTTTGGAACAATAGGAAAATTATTTGGATGCTTGGTTCTATACTCTACAATTTTCATACAATCAAAGTTTAAATTGAAAGTATGTTTCGGAATGGTTTTGAACATGACGAAAGTGATTTAAGCCATTTTAAAATCACTCTCAAACATTTATCACGTTATGGTTGTGTATTAATTTTGTCAGTTCTTCTTCTTTATCTCATCACAAGCCAACTGTTGTAATTGATTACTGTTCTACCTTTATTATCCAATCCCATACCGTTAAACCTTTTCATTCTTAATCATGCATCTTCCTTCCATCATCTGCATCTCAGGCATCTGTGGCAAGGCAAGGTGTAGGAGCCAAATGCAATGGATGCAGAGACAATTGTGCCCAATGGGGGGAGAGGTTCAGGGCTGTCATCGTTAATTTTGAATGGAACATTGCAGTGTTATGTAACCTGTTTGTATTAACTTGCTCGAAATCTGGTTCGAAACTGATTTCCACATTTGAATGAATTGCTTGCTCTAAGTTCGACAGTGTAATTGATGTTATATTTGTTGAATCAGGATCTGGTCAGAATTAAGAAAATACAAAACTTCTTTTCTTGTCTTCTTCTGAATTATGTCTGGTTCAATCGAATGTTAATCAGAATTAGAGGATGAAATCATCGCTTGAATTTGATTAAAACACAGATGCAAGGGTAAATCAAACCAGATAGAACAGATACCACAATTGATTATCTTTCTGAATAAGAAACTTTCCAGCGGAAACCAATCTTATAATACTAGATTTTGAATTTTGATGACAATTTGATTGCACCGATGAGCGATGAGCAAAAAAGAACGTAAGCCCCAAAACCCGACATTAGTTTCAAATTTCATGTTATGTTACTGTCCACACTTTTTTAGCATCCAACTTTACATACAACCACAGTCATAATCTTTCATAGTATTCCTCACTCCAGGTTATCTAAAAATGAACTTCCCATAACTGGATTATAAAAAGAACTTAATCTTAGCTCATTTCTTTTTCTTTCTTTGAGAAGAAGAGATGGTTGAAAGGTGAGAGCCTGTTTCACTTCCAAGAAAAGAAAGAAAACAGATGGATACACCAAAAACATGGAATGGAAAGGTTTCAGTCATTCACAACACCTCTTTTTCTTCCCCAATAGGATGATATTTTGGTGAAACATCAATTCAACTGTATAACTTATAAATAATCTTTGAAAATGAGGATACAACCTTTGTTATACTTTGATTCATAATATTTACCATGATAGAAAAATCTTATCCTGCAATATTCACAAATGACCATGTTGCTGTTGGTTATACCCAAGATGTTGCTGTCTTCGTCCGCACATCAAGTCGTTTCATCGAACGCCATAACCTAAGTAAGACATTAAAATAGTGGTATGAAATAAAAGTAAATGAAACCCATCCAAGCATGTTAAGGTTGTTTCCTTTCCAGTTTACAAATAACATAATCTCTAATCTCTAATCTCTAATGTTAATCAAGCTCATCAGTAGAATCAGAATTCAGCCTAAAAAGGAATACCGTCTCTGCAGAATTCAACCATGTTAAACTCCTTAGGAACCTACGTTTAATTTTGTTTTATAAACAGATCAAGCTAACAATAGCTTCGCATCCTATTTAAAATTTGTCCACATTTTAAGCATCAGTTCAGATTCTGTTGAGAATCATATATACAGAAAAAACCATATGTACACTGTATCTAAAACATTTTTAAAAAGACAAGCTGTATTTAAACTAAACCTGTTTGTGGTACTCAACATTCCACCAGTTTTCTAACTGTCAAATATCATAGCCAAGCGATGGTCATAAGTTTCATACACAACATGAATCAGGCGGACATCCTTCAAAAGGTTTTATCACAGACACAGGTTGAGCTCCTTTTTCTTTTTCAGTAAAATTACCAGCTGTACCGTGCAATCTTAATCGCTTAATACTGGTACTATTTACTTAAGTAACAAACTAAAAGGTTAATTCCACCTCTAATGTGATTTAGGATCACTAGAGTACCATCAATTGGGAATGATTTTATACTACGCAAGATAACCTGCTATTTTATAGGAAGAAGAGCATCTAAGAATCGCATTTCATCTGAAGGCCATTTTCCAAAGCTTCACACCAGTGAAGGAGCTGGGGAAGAAACATTAGTTATTATTGTGGGCCCCAAACAGCAATCTGATTTACTTATGAATAGGAACACTTGTGAAACACATAACTTCCAGAACATAAACAGATCCAAACATCAATTTGAGTCAGACACTCGAACACAATGAATAGGGTTGCTTTCAAATAGTGATTGAACAAGTTTATATGATCCGATGTATAAAAGGAACCTTACCTTGCCACAAACTGGACAGTTATCACTTCTCTCCATCCACTCATAGATACATCCAAGGTGAAAATGATGAGAGCATTTCGTCACTATCTTGGGATTCTCGGAAGTATATTCTGCAAGGGAAAAGAAGAAAATTAAATGAGCAGAACAAAATTTTGGCACGTTGAAAAATGTGTGGATCAATAACTTGTTTGTCACCCAGAAGCTCAACATACAAGAATATTGAGGGCCAAAACCATAGATTATTATGAGCAAGAAAATAAGATCCATGATAAAATGAAGCTCAATAAATAAACCAACCTTCAAGACACGTTGGACAGACATCCTCATCTTCAGAGGATGTATAAGCATACCCAACATCAGTGGTAGATTTAGTTGATGGGAACTTTAGAGATGACTTGCCAAGAATTTCTTTAGATTCCTCAAGACAAGCAGATCCATTCCATTTGCCAGATGAGCCCAAAGAATCTGAATCTGTATCCACATCACCTCTTAAAGGCTCCGACTCCTCTTGTAAATGGCTTGACCCCTTCTCTCGCCTAGAAATTAATCCATCCCGCTGCAAGCGGATATACCTGGGGTCAGCATCATAAGGCAATGGCCTTGGAGGTGAGCGGTACATTTCAGATAAACAGTTATCTGTTGATGCTGTAGAACTCATAGGTGTTGCCCCTTGAATTGATGAAGAGACAGAATGCACTTCTCCTCTTCGAAAAACCAATGTGTACTACAGAAATTAAGAGGGAAAATAGAGTCATACAATTATCTTGAGAATAATGTTACAAACTACACTAAACACTTGTGAAACTCGAAACAAATTACAAGTGCTTTTCCATATATATATTATAATTAATAGCGGGTTGTGGGTTATATATATACCCACGCTAGTGCACATTATAAATCACAGGCAATAATTTCGGTAGGAAATATGGAAAGACACAAATGAAAACAAACAACACAATGATATGACATACAAGGAAGTAGCATCAATATTCAGGACATTCCCCTCCCAATATTTGTAGGTTCCGATTTTCATCGTCAATTTTTCAGGAAAAAAGAAAAGTTGTCAACTCTAGATGCTAATACTATACAAATGTCAAATCCTCGTAAAACAAAACCAATAATTGAAATTTTTTCTGCAACTTTGTGATGAAAAAATATGAAGAAGTACAGTAATCAAAATTCATTTTGTTTCAAACTTTCTTCAAATTTTCACCAACATTAACATTAAAAAAAAAAAAAAAAAATCATTGTCACATACATTCATAAATAGTTACATTTTCATACTTGATAGTGACATCGCAAAATAACCTGATATACATTACAATAAAAATGGGGCTTACTGCATTTAAGAAGCTCTGAATGAAGCAACTAAGACAGGTGCAATTCCTATATACTGAACTATTTGGATTGACATAGTCTTCAAAATCCTCCACGCTCAAACAGCAGCAGACAGCACCCATTGTGCCAACTCCTACCAGTCTTTTTATAGTTCTCAATTTTCCAACCAGCAGATTCCCAAGTCGACAGATAAACCAATTTAGCTATTCACTTGCTTTCAAATGGAGGTCTTGGGCAATGATTATGCAGGAAAATGGAGACGAGAGTACATAAGCTCGCAGAAGTAGAATTGCCTCCACGAACCAGTACCCTCCCTCTTGAAGTTGAATAAACACTAGATTATTGAAACTGTGATTTTCCTCTGTAAAATTAGTATCCCCTGTTCAGTAATGTTAATGGGATGAGTATCCAAAGGGATTGTCCTCAAAGCAACTGCGATGCAGAAATGCCAATGTGATCACACTAGAAAGAAAGTTAACCGACAATTCCTTCTAAGATCATGTATTAAACCAACAATTAGCAATAACTCAGGGAATATGAATCTGTCGGCAGCAGTCCAAAACCACAATAATCACAACAATGAAAGAAAAAAAGTGTTGAAATAACCAAAAATAAATAAAAGTGTTGATCAAATGCAATACTCTTCGGTCAAAGTTACCCACCCATCATTAGACCATATCATTTTCTGGGTCACCTCTGAAAACACGGATTCTTTCCTTGATGATGAGGAGACGAGATGCCATAACAACATCGACAGAAAACCAAGCTGATCGTCGTTATCCAGGACATACATAACTCATCCAATATACCCATTGATGAATACGAGGTACAGGACAAGAAAAAAGGTATTCAAATTATGCGACAGTCCCATAACAAAAAACTCGAGAAATAGACGATCGGGCCACGAATACACATAAATCATGAAAAGAATCAGAAACCCAATACAGAACAATCAAAATATGGGGCGATCATCAAAAGGGGTCCCCGGGGACACGGAGAATAGTTGGAAAAAGAGAAGTACCTTGAGAGATCAGTAAAGTGGGGGGAGAAGAGAAGACCGAAAGAGAATACGATCTTCGGTGGTGGGTGAAGGACAGAGAAACCTGGAAATTGAGAGCAATGATAATATGCGGAAATTATATACACGCGCTTTTTCGGAAAAATCACGCACACAGATATTGGAATTTCAAGCTAATTCGAGATTGCGCATTTGAAGGGCGTTGAATTGGAACATAGAAGGCGATGGAACGAAAGCTACAAATCCCGCGAAAATAAAGCCGCCCTCTTCCCTCTATATCTTCATGTTTCTCTTTCCTTCTCCCTCGCTCACTGCCGGTGCCCCTTTGCTGGTAGGTGGATAACAAGCTCCATATCTTCACTCCCTTCTAGGAGGACTTTTTTATTTTAAAAAATAATAATTAATACCTAAAAAATTAGGGTCGCTCTATACATGCACCGTGGTTGGTTTAATTAGCGTCCCATATAACATTGTCGCAAGATTGAATTAATTTGTGTCTCGTATAGCAGAGTTAGTACACGAGTTGGGTTAGGTGTCTCATGTGCATCTTTTTCTTACTCGTGTGTTACGTGTTCATTAACTTTCATTGTGGTTTATCCATAAGCCACATTCCATTGGGGGAGTTTCCTATTTGATACCGACTCTTATAACTCAACTGTTCACACCTATTTGATACCAGCTCCATAGTTACACAACTCCAAAACGTCCTTGTTGTTAGCTAGGCATACTCAATTACCATTAAAAAAAAATGCACAAATTAGTATAAAATTACTCAATAAACCGTTCATTTGTAGGCTCTTAAACAGACATTAAACTTCGATAACTTAGATTTTCTTTTTTAGATTCGACCATAATAATACTAAGATCAAGACTTAGGGCGCTCCTTTGAACTTATCAATGCCGAAAGAGTCTTAGTTCTAGTTCAATCAACCCGTACGAGCTCATAATAAGATTTTCATTCCCTTTTTGTATACAATCAAAATATGTATACAACCCCAATATTTAATTTCATTAGATTATCTCGGAATTTTGAAAAATTGTATTTTAGTCCTTCAAATATTTAGAAATTATTATTTTAAAAATAATATTATCGTAATTTGGTAAAAGAAAAAAAAGGTGAAGGATTTGTCAAGAGAGCCATATCTCACTGTCAAATAAAAGCAGAGCATTTATTCTGAATGTACACTTTATTATATTTTTGTGTTTAATAAATTTTTAAAAATTAAAAACTGAATAACAACTAAATTCTAATTTTATTTAATTAACTATTTTTATGTTAATAATTGAGAGTAATTGAAAAAGCTATTTATAAAATTAATAATAAAGAAAAAATTATTCTCACAAAACACCTCTGGGATATTACTATTTATAATTAAAACACATAAATTCGCTTCTTCTTTCTCCTCTATTCTTCTTTCTTTCTTCTTCTCCTCCAAGTTTTCAGTTCTGATCGTCCTGGCCTTTGGGCGCCACTGCTCATGGCGGAGCAGAGTCTCGTCAAGCTCATAGACACTATATTCCTTGACGATTCCAGCAGCAGTGCCAATACCAAGAAGCCTTTTTCTTCATCCGATCTCCTCCAGCTTCTTCGCTCCGATGATTCTTCGTTCAAACTCGGCCTTCGTCAATTCTATTCGATTCTCAAGGCCGGCCTTCGGGACCTTGGTGACGGGAAGCTTGCTTTTCAGTCGTGGAATGATTCTCAGATCCAAGCTGTTTGTTCAATTGCTCATGCAATTGCTTCTGCTTCTCGAGCCCTGACCGGTACGCTTTGCTTCACTCCCGAGCTTTTTTCGATTCAGAAATGTGTTTTTCGGTATCTGTTTTCTTGTTGTCGCGTTTTTTTTTTCTCTTTTTCTTTTCATTTTTTAAAATTTGGATTACTCGTGCAATTTTATTAAACGTAATGTCTTGAAGATCTTGATCCTTTTAGGACTGGAAACTCATTTGGAATAGAATTTAAGTGCTTCTAACTCAACCATTTCTTTTTTTGTAAAAATACTAAAATTATGAATGCGTAAATTGTGTAAGCAATTTGCTGCTATTTGAGTTTCAAATTTTTTAAAAATAAATTGCGGCTTTGTTTCTTGACTCTCGGACTTTATCTTCTTGAATATTTCTTTATTTTCGCGGGAAATGGATTTCGGTTGGTGATATGGTATTCAATTGATGCATGTTGTCTTTGATGCATTTGCCTCGACAGTGGATCAAGCTGAAGCTATAGTTGTTGCGGTTATTAAAAAGTCACTCGAGTTGGTTTTCTGTTACTTGGAGAAATCAGAGTTTAAGTGCGATGACTTTGGTATTCAGGTTTGTTGCTTCTTGGTAGTGTCTAAATTATGTGGGAGGGATGGGCTCGTCATTGCTTTCTTTTACTCACCTCACATGAGTTCTGTAGGATACCTGTCTCCCTCTATGGAAGTACATCTCGAGCCACGATTTGTTTGTGCTTTAATGTTTCTCAAGTCGAATTTGCTTCTTATTTTTGGCCTTCTGCATTCGTTATTTACTTTATATCACTTAATTTCATTTTCTTTTATTGCACTTCTTGTTCTTGTGTGTCAAATCTTCTTTTCATATCCTATTGGCTGAGTTTGTCTCACGTTTGACTGAGTCGGGATATTAAATGTTCCCCTGAATGTTATATTTATTACTCTTGTTGAAACTTGATATTTATTATATTATTAAGTCAAATTATAAAATTTGTTTTTGTTATTGTGTCTACTTAGTCTTGGACTTCAAATAGTACATACCGAGATTTAAATTATGCTTATTCTGAGTCCCTATCAGTAATACTAGTTGACGAAGTGTTTGTGTCACTCCGTTTGGTAAATTTTGGAGAAGGTGGTCCGATTTGACATGTGGTTGGACTATTACAAAAGAGTGGTTATATACAAGAATTGGTCGTTGGGTTAGACGATTCGGTTTGATGGGTTAAAATTAAGACCAAGTGCAATAGCATCAAACTCACTGCCTGTTTACTACCTCGTGAAAATTTTATCTTGTTGGATTGTCACGTTAGCATTTGTCAGCTGGTGTTGACAACAAGGACTAAAAAGGACAAAGTTTAGGGATAGAATTAAAGCTTTTGAAGTTTCAGATATTTTCTTATTTTGAAATGCGTTTGTATTACATAGGCACAGTGTTCAAAGTACAATAGCGAAATTTACTATTCATAATCACCACCACTTTTTTTCTTCTTCTTAACATGCAAACGCACTAACCTCATTGGCATGAGAAACTTAAAAAGCAAGTTATTAGTTATGAAATTATGTAAAGATTCCTTTTTGCTGATAAGGTAGAAAGTAACGTTTTTATCATACAATTCCTAATTGTCTTAATAAAACTTTCTGTTTTTCGTAGAATATGCTATATTATTATCTCATTCAGCTGGCCTTTCTAGGGGGTATGGAAGGAAAAAACCATCTGTACGTGGATTGAAAACAGAAGCTGTTATTTATTTATTTATTTTTTGCTTGTAAGGTTTATAATTCCAAGGATTTCTAAGCAATGTGGACGTTGGAGTTTATTTTGAGTAGAAGCATTTGAACGGTGGAAGCTGATACAAATGGTTTGATTTAATTAATGGAATTGTTAAAAGTTGCTTTGTTTAGCTATAAAGTATTATATTTTTAACACTAAAACCATCCATGAATATAGAATTATATCATTATAAAATTACAGAAGTTAAAAAACAAATTTTACAAAAGAATGAGAGAAAGAGGGGAATATGAAAATAAAGAGAGTGAGACAATATAGGTATAAAGAAAGGGAAAAAAATGAGAGGAAAAAATATTATGTAATAGAGAAAAATGCTGGAAAAAGTATTTTAATAGCTATTTTTGAGGTTTAAATATGAGCTAATCTTACTTTAAAAAAGTTGGTTGATGTACCTTGGCAATGAGCTTGTGACTTGAATACAGAAAGATGGTGTCAAGTTTGAGATGATGTAGAGGTATGAAGTTTGAGATGATGTAGTAATAGTTAAACATTATTGTTTCTTTTATTTTATTTTTCTAGTAACAATTTTGTTTCTATCACAATCAACATTTTGTTGATATTTTCATGACATTGTGCACAAGTATTAACCCTCATTTTGATATTAACCATCTTGATTTATGGAAGTTTACTTCATATTCATTCTTGTGCATTAATTTTAAGATTTATATTACCAGCAAGCAAATTTCTTATTTTGAGTGTTTGTTTTTTATGTTTCCATTCTTTTTCTATTTCAACTTTCATGTATATACATTGTTTTTGTATTATATAAACTACCCTTTGGCATCTTCTGCAGAATAATATGTTACTGATTATGGAGACAATTTTGGTTGATGGGATGGATAAAGTATCCGACTGTGCACAGCTTTACGCCAAGAAAGGTCTTATAGAGTTGTTGAAATTTACTGGTGCAGACTGTGATGTTTCTAAAGAGTTCGATAATCAAATTGAATGTGGATTTGCAGGTATCTGTTAAATTTAAATGACTTTTTGAACATGCCTTATGCATTAATATTAGTTTTTCCTCAAAGTTTGTTTTTCTTGTATAACATTTAGAAGGAGTCTGTTGCTCCAGAGAAGAAAAGCAGGTAGGAAGGCTTTTAATGACAATAGCTGCTGAATGCGTGCAAGCTGATCAGCTGACCACTGAATCTGGATTCAGTGAACCGACATTCCTTGAAGACACAAACAAGTTGATTCTCCTTTGCCAACATTGGGCGATCATGCATTTGGCATGCATCCAACGTTTGATTTTGATCTGTAAAGAATTGGTAATACTCCAAGATGTGCTTGATGAGAAGACAGGAAGTACAAGTTTTCGGAAGAGACTTTCATGTAGTTTGAGGATATTAAAGCTTCTTACGGAACTCTCAAAGAAATTTCCGTGGATTGAATATGATGCTAAACTGATGCAGGCATTTGCACTGTTTGCCAACTCATTGCCTTGCTTGTTTGGACTATGTTTTGAGTTTGCAAATAGTCATGCTATAGTCGAGGGTAGTTTTGAGAACACCATTTTGTTACTCCTGGAAGAATATTTGGAGCTAGTGAAGGTTGTATTTCGCAACAGCTATGTTTGTGTGAACATCCAAACATGTATAGTGGCTTCCATATTGGATAATCTGAGTTCCTCTGTTTGGCGGCATGATGCATCTATTGCAAACCTGAAGCCTCCCCTGGTTTACTTTCCTCGGAGTGTTATGGTCATACTTAAACTCATACAAGATCTTAAGGGGCATAAATATCATGCTTTCAGTTTTAATGATCTTGAAATGCATCACACGAGCACTCTTGCTAATTTATCAGTGGAAATACCTAAATGCCATGCTCGTTTGGAGATTGTTCCTTTGCAAAAGAATTATAC